AGGCGCCGAGCCAGTAGATCCGTTTTCAAACTAAACCCCAATGTAATTGATGCCGTGCAGGAATCACAGAGTGAAACGCCACCCTAAACATTAGGTCATCTGGCTGATCATTATCTCGCAGTCTTCCCACTGTCTAAATCGTTTTGTAATCTGGATGGATGGGCTCCTTGCACTGTTCAGTTCCTGAGCGACGGCATAACCCATAGCCCCTCCTTTGGCAGGAGAGATTGTAAATAACGTAGGATTTGAGGGGCTTTTTTTTCCCACTATGTCGCCCCCGGTAGAGTGCCGTGACGTCACAGCTCACAGCAACCTCCAACTCTTGAGCCCAAGCGATTCCCTTGCTTCAGCCTCCCTAGTAGCTGGGACTACAGGCGCCCGCCACAATGCCCAGCTATGCAGTTGTCATTGTTCATTGTTGTTTAGCTGGCCCGAGAAGGCTTCGAACTCACCACCCTTGGTGTATGTGGCTGCCGCCGTAACCACCGTGCTACCGGCGCCAAGCCAGGGTCTGAGTTTTTTTAGAGAACGGGGACCTAAAGACTGGGAAGGGCTTACGGACCGGAAGTGGGGGCAGGTTACGTTAGGAATGCTGGCGTGGCTTGGTCCAGTTCCAAAGGGATCTTAAAGCAGCAACGGATAGACGTCGCGAGCTTGGAAGGGCCGGATCGCGGATTCGTTTCCCACTTAAAGAGCTCGCTTTTCCCCGCCTCCGGAACAAGTTGGGGTGGGGCCAAGGACGAGTTTTCCCGCGCTTTGTTGCCCCGCCTCCTGGAGGCGGGGGGAAAGGGAGAAGTTGCTGGGAAAATGAATCACTTTAATGCTTTAATCATTGCTTATTTGCAGAGTGAATCTGCAAGTCCGGTGTGCCACTCGGCACTCACTTGGGCGGGGCGGGACACCTCCGCAGTATGCAGGCCGCTGGTACACGGCGCATTTATAGGTGGTTTTGTTACCCTGACCCGGGTCCCAGGTCACTAGACCCAGGGTTCTCACGGGCCCCCTGAGCGTTTTCGTGCTGCATCCTAATGTGAAAGAGAGCTACTGGATGGGAATTTGGGGGCCACCACTTAGCTATTTGGTGGCATCGGGCAAGTCACTTAACCGTCCTGAACCTGTTTTCTCGTGGGTAACATGAGGATACCCAGCTGACAAGCTTAATTTTGTGAGGACTGAAATAGTTTGGAATATAAAAGTATTTTGTAAAGTACTTGGCAAATGAGATTAGTGTGCACCTCTGTCCCAAGCCTCCCTTACCGCCCTTGCAGCTTTTGTTCCTGGGAAGCAACTGCAGCCAGAGTTACCAGCGCTCTCACCTTCCGAACAACTGGTTTAGAATCCTGAACTGGACGTAAGCAACTGGCATTCCATTTCCACCTCCTACTCTGAGTCTCCGTGTACAGAGTAACAATTACTACTCACATAGGGGCCTATTATTAGAACTTTGTGTACATTAATTTATTGAATCCTTGTCACAACCCTGCAGGGAGGTACTATTATTTCTTAGTCTTTTGTTTGTTTGAGACAGAGTCTCTGCAGTGGCGTGATCATAGCTCACTTAACCTCAGACTCCCGAGCTTAAGCAATCCCCCGCCTCGGCCTCCCAAAGTATGAGGAGGTAGGTGTGAGCTACCGCGCACTACAGAGAGATACTGTTATTATTCTGTTTTACTGAGGAAAAAACACAAACAGTTTGAGTCAGGTGACTCATCCTAATTCAGAGACAGTGGAGTTGAAATTCTAGGGGTCCAGATGGTGCCTGTGGCTCAAAGAGTTGGGCGCCAGCCCCATATACTGGGAGTGGCAAGTTCAAACCCTGCCCTGGCCAAAACTGCAAAAAAAAAAAAAAAAAAGAAAGAAAGAAAGAAATAAATTCTAAGGGTCCACAAAGCTAGACACTACATATATCCCCTTGCCAGGAGGATTCTGGACAGAATAGTTTGCTTTTCAATTGGATGCACTATTCGTTCATTTAAGAAAAATTTAATCAGCCATTATTTCTAGAACACCCTCTGTGAATCAGGCACTGGAGACAGGTGGTGCTGGTGCGAGACAAAAATGCCTGTCACTGAACACACGTCCTGAGGCAAGGGCAACCAATAGCTATTAGAATGAGAACTGCCAAGGAATAAAACAAAACAGAGCTATCAGGCCTTGACAAGATGTGGAGGAATCTTTGGTGGGTATGACCAAGTGAAAGAAGCCAGTCTGAGAAGAGTGTAGCTTTATCAAGTAACTACAGAGACAGTGGAAAGACCTGGGCTTGCTGAGGACTCAGGTGGAAGGAGAGAGATGAAAAGGTGAAGCCCCCAGGACTCTGAGGGCACTGAGACTCTTCTGTAAGATACTGTGATAGATACATAACATCATACAACTGTCAAAAGCAACGGAATGTACAGCACCGTGAACCTTAATGTAAGCTCTGCGCTTAGTTAATAATAATGTAACTATTAGGTGGTATAGGTCTTTTAGAATTTATTAGCAGATTTTCGAGTCCTCACTGGAAGACACCCCCCAAACAATCACCTAATTTTTATGAAAAATTAAAAAATAAATAAATAATGTATCCATATTGGTTTGTCAATGATAACAAACTCACCACACTAATGTAAGATGTGAGCAAGAGGAGAAACTCCTCCTGCAGCACATTTGCTAAATTGGAACAATACAGAGAAGACCAGCATGGGCCCTGCACAAGGATAATATGCAAATTCGTGAACCATTCCATATATATTATTTATTTATTTATTTATTTATTTTTTTAGAGACAGTCTCAGTTTATTGTTTATTGCCCTTGGTAGAGTGCTGTGGCATCACACGGCTCACAGAAACCTTCCAACTCCTGGGCTTAGGCAATTTTCTTGCCTCAGCCTCCCGAGTAGCTGGGACTACAGGTGCCTGCCACAATGCCCAGCCATTTTTTGTTGCAGTTTGGCTGAGGCCAGGTTTGAACCCACCACCCTTGGTATACGAGGTCGGCATCCTACCCACTGAGCCACAGGCACCACCCCATTCTGTATTTTTTTGAATGATTCATGTTTAGGGGAAAAGATGAAAATCTTCCTTAAAATTTGTTTCAGCTCTTCCTGCATGTAAAAAAATAAATAAATGGGCTGGGTGCAGTGGCTCATGCCTGTAATCCCAACCCTCTGAGAGGCTGAAGCAGGAGGATCACTTGAGCTCAGGAGCTCAAGATCAGCCTGAGCAAGAGCAAGACCCCATCTCTACTAAAAACAGAAAAACTAGCCAGTTATTATGGTGGGTGGCTATAATTAAAGCTACTTGGAGGCTGAGGCAGAAGGATTGCTTGAGCGCAGGAGTTTGAGGTTACTGTGAGCTAGGATAACACCATGGCACTATAACCTAGGCAACAGAGCAAGACACTGTCTCAAATTAATAAAGTGGTAAATGTAAATGGGGAAAAAGCAATAGGGGGAAAGTGGAGGGGGATATATGGAAACTCTATACTTCCTGTTTGATTTTTCTGTAAACCTAAAAATGCTCTAAGAAATAAAGTATAGGGCAGTGCCTGTGGCTCAAAGGGGTAGGGCGCTGGCCCCATATGCCAGAGGTGGTGGGTTCAAACCCAGCCCTGGTCAAAAAAAGTG